GAGGAGGAGGAGGAGGATGAAGGTCACTCTGCTTCTCAGGTGTCCTGGTAACAGGAGGCAGGACAGCTCTGGTAGTTGGAGCATTAACACAAAAAGTATTTATAAATTACAATAAACAAACCAAACACTGGCTCTAGATGGAGCCTTTTGCCTTTTTTTGTGCAACTACACCGTTAGATGCCACCAAATCTTATACACACTGGTCCCTTAATCAGTACAGATATAAATAAATTCAACTAACTGTTACTAACTGACACCATCAACTCTCCAGAAAAATCTGTTTTCATCACATTCATTCATTGGACCATTTTTTCTGTTTGTATGTCTGTATGTATCTGATTTGTGCATGTCAAATGATATTAGTCTGCATGCATCGGATGTTCATTTGATTTAAGACGTTGACTCTTAAATTGGTTTGAAGTTTCATTATTCAGATTTAACGTAATTAAAATACATCTGGGAGACACTTCTGGATTCAGGTTGATAACAGAGCTGCAGTTATATATTAAAAACCCTTCTGACAGCAGGTTTAATGTGAATAAAGCAGCTCACCGGGGGTCAGCATGCAGATGTGGCAGCTGTGCTGGCTCTGTGCTATTGTTTTGGGGATTATAGCAGGACGGGTAAAGCTTGGCATAGTGGCTCTTCCAGGCCAAACGGGTCAACATCTCCTTCTGGATCTGCTCTCGGTAGCAGTTCTGGCTCTGGGTCGTAAGCAGGCAACGCATCTCCTGCCAGAAAGCTTAACTTAGCCACTCTCAGTTTACCATTTTGACACAATCTTACTTTGATTTACTTAATGAGACTGAATTTAAATGGCTTTAAACATGAACAACTAATAGAGGCACAGTTGTTTTGATTGGTGGATTTTGCTCCTCAGACAAGAAAGCAGTGTAAAGAAAGAAAGAAAGAAAGAAAGAAAGAAAGAAAGAAAGAAATCTGCTGTATATTACAACACCACCACAAATGTCTTTCAAAGATGTGAAAAATCAAAGGCAATTGAATTAGGAAAATCCAGTTCTCATTGACTTCCATGCAAAAAGCTGCATGCCATTATTTATCTAGTAGATGTTTCTAAAATCCCTTTATGAAAAGATTAGATTTGCTAATTGTTAAATGTCTTAATTTACCTTTGGTGTGTCTGATGCAGAGCTGTGCAGGATCAGCTCCTCGCTGTGGAAATGAGATGTGGATCAGATAACAGTCTGTAACACAGGGAAACATGAGACACATGCAAACGCACATCCTGTTCTTCCTAACCCTAGAAACCTGTTACACACCTAAATCTCATCCCTCTTCAGTGCTTAAAGCCTTTAATCTTTGCTGAATAGCACCTCCTTTGTCCACAAATGGTGACACCATTACATTAAAGATGTAATATGTAACATTTCCACATTAAAATACCAATAAACACTTGACCTCTGAGTTGAGTTGTGTACTTACAGTATCTGACTGCAATGACGACAATGGTGGTGAAGACAACAACTCCAGTGGTCTGACGCTACTTCACAACGTCTTCATACTTCATCTTTCATTTTGTCTTAATGTGAGAGACTCTTTAGCAGATTTCCAACATTTAGATTCTCTTGAATCAGCTGCTGTAATAAAGCCATCACTGGGCACAGATTCAGTGTGAGGAAAGAGGATACACCTAATGGGTCTTCCAGCATGGTGCAGTAAGGTTTTTTACTCATATATTATAATTTTTGTGACGTGTTTAAAAGTATCACAACAGTAGTGCAAGCAGAGTAGACTCCTGAACGAAGTAAAGACATAGCAATATAACAATTATATCATATAATTTCACTTCACTATTTGAATTATCAAAAACTCAGACAACCAAGCCATTATTTTGCTTATATTAGTTAATATTGGCCACTGTTCATAGCAAGAATGTGGCAGCAATACTAGGATGACCATATTTGAAGGTGTTTGGTTCAGTATGCTACAGAACTGGTTGTCAGTCCTTGTGAGTCCTGAACCACAGCAGCCCAGCCAGCAAGTTATCCCTTTTATCTGTCCCTTGTCTTTCCTGTCTCTCTTTTTTGTCACTATCAATAAAGCAAAATGCCTAAACGAATTTTTATATTTTAAAAAAGTTGCTTTAACTGTGCCTTTAATCACCTTTTATTAATTTGCCTTTATCCAGATAGGGGTCATGACAGGTGGCTCATGCTTTAACATTTTTTTCCACTTGCTCTATCTGCAGGTTGTGACATGATTTGAGTTAAAGCAGTGTCATTGCATTGCTGCATGAGGAAAAGAATGAACTCCCATAATGGTTTGACAGCACTCATGCTCAGAAAGGGTGTGACAAAGCTCCACCCCTTAACTGACTCACCTGAGAACAACAGAAGAAATATAAATTGCATATGTGTTTCGGAGAAAACACACACACCCAGAGATAATAACCATCAAAACAAATCCACAACTTTTACAAAACGAGGACAGCTACAGGAGAGAATACTTGGAAACCTGCATAATGGAAATCTGATCTAGAAGAGAAGGGACTTTCTTTCTTGTTCTTGCTTCTTTGTTCCTGGCGTGTTTCCATCATCATTCGCTGAAAAAATGGCAGCAGGATCTGAGGCTCTCTGCAGTCTGCACTCTGAG